TAATGAGATAAACTCCTTGGCAATTTTCAGGGACTTTTCTCATGGAAGAGTACAGGTTAACTTCTGGACAGTGTGTCTGCTGGATGTCCCTCTATGATCTGACAGAAGGAAGAAAGGGGAAAGGAACTGCCATTTGTTAACACCTGCATGGATCAGTCACAGTATATTCAGCATTTAACCTAACCTATGCAATCCTCCCCTTGTACACTGTGAAGCAGGCCTTAAATGTCCCATTTTACAGATGAGGAAGCTGAGGTTCCGAGAACTAAAATACAGCACCTAATGTGATACAGTAGGTAAATGATAGACCCAGGATTTGAACACAGGTCTGTCTGACTCCAAAACCTGTGTTCTTCCTCCTACACAGGGGCAGTGAGAAGAGGAGTGCTTGGCTTACTTCCTAGCTCTTCCTCATCCAACATCATTTTCACTTCTCAAATAATGCAGAGAAAGCCTTGGACCCACCATGGTTAGATTCAACTCAAAAACTGCTTCAGGGATTATGTTGTCTTCTGACCTTGAACCTGTCTCTGCTTACCCAGAACTCAGCCTGCTTTTGCCCACAAAGCCAAGCTAGAAGCAGCAAATCCTGTCCGATCTTTCCAAGTCTGATCTGGAACATTGTGTGCTTGAGCAGAGAGCACAGAACAGAGAAGAGACCTCCAAAATAGAGGAGTGAGAGGGAGGCAAATATACTCCTGGTTCAGGAGATTTGAATTGCCAAGCATCTCTCCTGGAATAAAAGCAAGACTGGACTTTTTCAAAAAGCACTTGGGCATTGATTTGGGGTTCTGCAATGTCTTCTGCATCTTCTCGAGCAAGGAGGCATCCTTGAAAACTCTGATGTTGGCTTGGAATGGCATGGCTTGCAGAAGTCACCCAGCTTTGGCTAGAGTCACTATGTTGGTATCAGGGGTGGGCAACAGAGGGAAACATCTGATGGAAATACTGATAAAGCTGTGCTGGCTTTATCTTTGGAACCCCATAGGGATTCCAAAGCAGAGTTAGTTCCAAATAATAGACTAAAGCTACTACCCACCCCCAATTATTGGACACCAACTTAATTCTCTACCTACAGTAGACCAGGTCAACTGATGTCTGTTTTCTTAGAGTAAATTCAAAACCTTTGCAGAAAGTGGCCATATGCCTCAGTAAGCAGGGGATGGGGGATGTGGGAAGAGGATATCAGGGGCTCTCAAGCTTGGGTCAGAACCCCGTTAGCTGCAATTTCCTTAGCAAAGCAGTGGGTTCGCTTGTGCCTATTTCTCTGTGTCTTTCTCTGCACGTCAGACAATCCAGCTATGAATGTCAGACTGCTCCCTTTACATCTCTGCTGGGGGCTTGGCAGGGAGGAGGGAATGGGGAAAGGGCTCCCTATTTAAGAATTGCATTGAGATGGAAAGACAATATGACACATCAGCTCATGTCAAAGGAGCTCATTCTTCCCGCCTACAGCATTAGCAATTTCCTACCAAGGTTCAATTTTTTTTTTTAAAAATTATATTTGGTTTTAATTTTTTTTATTTGTAGCATAACTCAAGAGGACATTGCTGCTCAGAGCAGGATGGGAGCTTGCCCAAGGGCAGAGACTTGAAGTGGGGGGCAGGGGACATGAGCTTCAGCTACTTCTGAGAAGAGGGCCCAGGAGTGGGAGGACTCTGGTTTCTGCCTCAAACCTCCTCTCATTCTGCCTCCCACCCCACCTCTAGCTCCCGCCCCCCTGCTCCTGAGCAGTCTAGCCTGGGGGTCCCAGACTCAGGACGTTCCAGTCAAGGCTGTAGATGAGATGAGAGCAATGAGGAAGAGGAAGCCAAAAATGAGTCGAACATCCATAAAAGCACTTCCTTTATCAGAGCCAGGAAAAGCTGCTTCTAGGTTGCCCCCTTTTTCCTCCACTCCCCACCTCCAGCCTCCTCCTTTCCCTTCACATAAAATCCTAGAGTGTTTTAGCTGGAAGGAGCCTCAAAGAGCTCCTAATCCAACTTCAGATAAAGACACCAAGGCTCAGATAGGATTTTTTTTATGGGGGGTGCTGGCAGGTACAGGGATGGAACCCCAGACTTTGGAGTTATCAGCACGTGGTAGGAATGTGACTAGCCCATGATAATGTGACACAACCCAGATGGGAATGTGACTAGCCCATGGCTGGTTTGGTGTGCAGGTCCTGGAACCCAGGCCTCCTGGGACCATGTCCAATGACCTTGTTTGTCACTATGCCATGCTGTCTCTGCTGCTCCTCTCTCCTCCCCACCCTGTAACCCCGAACTCAGAATGATCTTTATCTGAGAGATAGGGTTAAATGGCAACAATTCCATTTCTTTTCACTTCCTTCCCTCCCAGGTTTGGGTAGGACCTTGGGAGTCTGAATTTGGCCTCTTCATGTGGGAAGAAACATAGATGTGTTTTAGGGTTGGGCTTATGGGGTAAAGGAATTTGGGAGAGGAAAAGTCTCCATCATTACGTGAGGGTTTTTCCTGCTTTGTGCCTGGTTATGTGACCACAATGGTGTCGGAAATTGACCGGGGGGGGGGGCGCTTGAAGAGGACAACTAGGGTGAGTCTTTATCTTAATGTAAGGAAAAAAAACGCTTTTCTATTTCTCTTCCTGAATCTGTTTCCTTATATCTGTGTCTGTCTCTCTGTCTCCGTTTCTCTGTTCTCTCTCATATGTGTATCTGTCTCTCTCTCTCTGTATCTCCTATAACTGTCTCTCTATGTATGTCTGTCTCATCCTCTGCCTGTGTCTGTATCTCTCTGTGTCTCTGTCTTTCTCTTGTCTGTCTCCGTTTCTTTCTGTCTGTCTCACTCACGCTCACTCTCACACTGCAAATTCCATAGTTATAGACTGACCGGGGAGCTCTGGCTCCTTCGTGTAGCCCTGTCAGGACAACCTCCTTCGCCTTCTTAGGCTGAGAAATGCCAGGTCAGGATCTGCTGCTGGGCGCCCGAGACGCTGCACAACCGCCCGCCGGGTGTGGAGGCTGAATCCGGGAACAATGAGAAATTGTCTGTTGATTCTCGGCTCCTGCCACCTGCTCTGCTCTGAACAGGCTCCTTTGCCTTCAGTTTAGATGCAAATTCCCCCACTAGATGTAAGCAAAATATTGATCTCCCTGCATCGCAGGCCTGGGCTCTTGGAACAGTCCTGTGCTTTTTCATTCTCGGCAAAGGCAAAACAAGGCGCTTTGTTCTGCGAATTTCCCCAGGAACTCGAGAGGGGGAGGCAGAAACCAACGGCGGCGAGTGATAGAGTTGCCATAAACACGGGCAGAGAGCAGTTCCTCTCCATTTGTATTTTACATAAACACAAGCCCGCTGCTTAGGAAACTGCTAATGAGCGTGTGGCCAAGGGCCTCCCAGCTCCTGTCTCTCCCAGGTGCTGGGTTCTGCATCAGATGGTGGAAGGAAAGGTGATGGGGCCTCTGGGCTCCTCCGGTGGGTCTTTAGAAGCACCGGGATGGCTAATGGGGACTCCAGAGCCTCATCTATTTTTGAAACAGCAACCGAGCACCGCCCGCAGGAAGGCGGCCTGGATTGCATAGTGTTGCCGGGGTCATGCCTGCTCAAATCCTTCCCGCCTAAGTTACTAGCCCTCTCCCATCGTAGGTGCCCGGGGTCAGGGTCGAAGCTGCAAACCCGCCGTAGTTTTCTCTCTCCCCTCCTCCAACCCTATGCCCACGGGATAGTTGCACCATTTGGACCTTCAGCACCGCGGACAGAGCCAGGGGGCGCGTCCCGGGCGGGAAACGACCTGGCTAGGCCAGGGTCCTCTCAGGCCTCGGCACCAGCTGCCCGGCGATCGCAAGTCCAAGGGCCGACTGGCTCGGCTGGCGCAGATGGCAGCTGTGGAGACCGCCAGGAGCTGGGGCTCCGAACCTCCTCCCTCCGGAACGTGAGTCACCGCCCAAGCCACTTCCAATTAGCGTGTTAATTAGAAGGAAAGACCCTCCTCCCCCACCAGCCCCACGGGCACACGCCAGACCCGCGGTTTCCCTCCCAGCTCTGAGAAGGCAAAGGGACACGAGTGTGGAGCTTCGGGTGAGCCCCACACCGAAGGGGCCCATCCCCCAATAAGGCCCCGTAGGGCCCCGCTTTCCCGGCCGCCCCGGCGATGGCCCGCAGATTTCCAGGGCTGAGTGAGGCGCCTTGAAGCCCCCCAGCCGACCTGCTCCTGGGCCTCACGCCACAGTGCCCGGGGGAGTCCTGCTTACAGTCTAGCCTCCATCCTCCCGTTTAGTTGTCGGCCTTTCAGCCCTCGCTGCGCTTGATAGAAAGATACACTATCTCTGGTGCTGGTGAACCGATGGGGGAGGTGGATCTGGCGGGAACTGAGCGCCCTCTTGAAATGCCCCCTTTTCCTATTCGCCAGAAACTTTCCCTCCCGTTGCCATGGAGAGAGACGGCCGCTGCCTCCCGTCGCCATAGCAACGTGCGGGTGCCGCGGACCGCAGGATTGCGGGGCTCGGAAAGTCTTCTTGCAGTTTGCGTCGCCCCGCAGTCTTGGGGTCTCCTGCCTCCGAAGCTGGGACCTGGAGCAAGTCTAACTTCTCCCATCCGGAACCGCGGCCGAGGCGCTCCTACCCCCGCCGGGTCGGCCGTCTTTCTCTTACGGGGTAATCTATTTCGCTGCCACTTGTGTGGCGTGTGGCAGTTTACCCCGTGTTTTCACAAGCACTATCTTTATATCCCCAGGGAGCCCTTGAAGCACTCGCTGTCATTATACCTCTTTTGCGGAGAGGAAAATCGAGGCTAAAGAGGCCTAAAGTCACACTCGACAGTGAATGCGGAGCCCGAACCCCGACTCTTTCCCGGCCTTGCACACTCCAAGATGCAGGACAGCCGTGTCCCCCCGCCACGATTCTGCCCGGACTCAGGCTGGTCCCTGAGTGTAGAGGGGGCGACCGTGAGGCGCCAGACTTGCCAGCTGCTGCGGGATGCCACGTGAGGGGCGGGGACCCTGCGGAGAAGTGATTAAAAGCAGAACGGAGCCGCAGGGGGCCGCTGCGGGAGGGTCTTCTTGGGGCCGCCTTGCCCCGCCCCAGTCCCGCAGCTGTGCTGCTTCCAGCGGCTGCTCCGCAGGCCTGGGTGCCCCGGGCATGAACGGGGTGTGGGGAGACGGGGGGCCTCGGTGCCAGGCGGCGCTCGCGGTCCTGGCCTCACTGTGCCGGGCCCGGCCGCCTCCTCTTGGGCTGAACGTGGAGACTTGTAGGAGCTTCGAGCTGCAGCTCCCAGAGCGGAGTCCGAGCGCGGCCGCCACAGGTAACTGGAGACCCCGGGCCCCCACCCTTCCTGCATTCTCGTCCTGGCTGCCCGCTTCCCTTCTCCAAAGCACCGGCCCCAGGAGCCCTAGAACCTGAGAGAGAACTCCGGCTAGGAATTCTGGATTCGGAACCAGCTTCGGCCAATCCCCTGCAGGGCAAGGAGAGATCCAAAAAGGACCCAGGAGGGAGAGAACCCCTCTGCCCCTCCCGTGTGACCTCTGCGGGGTCCCCGCGGAAAGCCGGGCTCCCGGGACGCGGCACCCGCGGGGCACCAGTTTCCCTCGCGTCTCTCGGCTCTCCCTGCGTGCGTTCTGCCAGGGGAGGGGTCGCTGGATCCGGCAGGAGACGAGGGGCATCCAGCTGAGGAAGAAAGCTTGTCTCCTCGAGGGCGTCTATGTCCCAGGGTCTATCAGTCGGTCTGTCCGTCAGTTTGTCTGCTCTCTTGGTGAACGCGGGCCGAGCCCCCTGGGTCTCTCAGGGAGAAACTTGGGTCTTCGGCTGGCACGAGGTCTTTGTGTCCGGGTGTCTCTCCGGCTGCCAGTGGCTTTGTTCGTCTCCACTGGGGGGCGGGGGGCGGGGTGGGGGAGGGTGTCGCGGCGTCTTCCCCCCTCCCCCCCGCTCGCCCCTATAACTCGCTCCCTCGGTCTCTCTCTGACTCACTCGGACTCGGGGCGGGTGCGATTCTGAGCCGGTGCCTCTTACCGACTTTGCCAAGAGGGCGCCTCCTGCCCGAGCCGCGCGGACCTGCGCTGGACGCAGCCCCGGGCGGCTGCCGAGCTGAGGCGGGAGCCCGAGCCGAGTCGAGCTCGCCCGAGCGGGTGAGTCCCGAGCCCGAGCCCCGCGGGGCTGGGGCCCGACACGCAGCTGCTGCGTCTCCCGGGAGTCGCGACAGCGGGAATGGCGTGTCGCGCCCTGGAGGTGGGAGGCGCGGGAGGGTCGGTGGCGCGGCAGCCGGACGGCCCCGGGTATTTACCTGCTGCACCAGTGTCCTGCGGCCACGCTCGCCCGCTGCAGTGGGGCTTCTTTGTCCCGATGTCTGGAGGGTCCGGGGGGGAGAGTACGGGTCGCATCCCCTCTGGGGGAGGAAGCTGGGGGCAGTGCGAGGCCTGGAGAGAATGCGTAGTGGGGGTAGAGAGATCCTGCAGGGGACCAAGGATTCCTGGGGACGCCGCAGACTCCACCCCTCCTTGTGCCCCGACCCCGACCCCCGCGGTGCTTGGCCTAAGGGTATGTGGGAGTCGCCCCGTGGCTCCGCACCGCTGGCGCGGGAGGGGAAGGAGGGGGCCGCGAGAGGCGGGAATTTGGTCCCCACGCGCTTCTCTAGGGACGAGAAGCCAGGGACAGGAGCGACGGTTCCAAGAGCAGGTACAGGTGGGATAACCTCCCCAGTGGCCGCAGGTCCCAGAGTCCTCTTTTCAATTACCATTAAGGGTCGAAGACAGAGAGGTAGATTCTGGGTTAGGAACAGAGCCATTGGGGGGAGCAGTAGTGGGCCAAGGGGAGGCTTGCGGGGGGGGCTGTATTTAGCCTTGAGGCATGTGGAGCCCACCTCAGCTCTGTATGGGTCTAGGGAATGCTGCTTTTCTCTGGCTCTGGCAATGTTTCATCAATAGGTTGATCACTGCAGCAGAAGGGACTGAGGTTAGACATAAAGAAGAACTTTTAGAGGGAGGTACAGTGATGGAGGTTGGAGATTCTCAGAACAGATTAGGCCCAGCAAGTATTATTAGACTCTGGTTCTCTGGTGCCATCCCCTCCTATATCACCCAGCTCCCCACACCCACCAGACAAATCTTCCCCAAGTCAGGGAGTCTCTTCCTGCCTCCGCCTACTCCCCAGCTCCCTTCCATCTTTTCCTCCAGTGATCCATCTCTAGTGGGGACTTAATGCTGGTCCTGACCCCTCAGAGCCTAAAGGGTGAGAACACATCCGTCCAGTTCCACCTGGGATGGAAGCTGGACCTCCATGTCTGTCTAGGGCAGAAATGCTGGGGTGGGGGTGAGGGGGGGTGTATGTGGATAGCACATCCTGATAGGGGAAGGCCCTGGTGTTCTAACTCCAGAGACATGCCCCTTAGTCTGGAATGACAGCTGCTTACACTGCTAGGTTGAGGGTGAGAGAAGCCTGAGGGGTGAGAGCCAGTGGGCCCAGATGAATCAGTATGCCTTCCCTGCATGCTGCTTCAGAAGAAGAATTTGGGTTGTCAACCTCGGGAAACTTTAACTTTGGCTGCTGAGTCACAAGCCCCAGAAAGCCCCGGGGGCCTAGCTGGGAGGCTGAAAGGGGTAGGGGAGGCAGAAGGAGATCCTCGATTATAGCAAAAGAAAGAAAATGGTTGAGAGTGGCTTTGGGACCTTGGAGATTTAGGTGAGTATAGGGTCTGGGCAGATGCTGTGGAATTCAGGACCAAGCCCCCAGGTGTCCCACCTCCCAGTCTGCTCCCTGAACCCCAGATATGCCTGGGTTCAGATTCTGCAGCTGAGAAATGCTGGATCTTTTCATTTGCACTTTTATGAAAAATGTGAGTGACTAGAGCATGCCCTGCTGTCTTTAACATTTTGTTTTCCCCTGCCTTCCTCCTGTTCTAAATCTCTAGCTCATGGTATTTCTAGTAACACCCTGAGATTCAACAGTTGAGACTCAGACTCCACTGGCATTTACTGAAATCCTTCTCTATACCAGGGTCTATGCCAGGAATTGCACAAGAAATCTCAATTAATCAGACCCTGACTTGGAAACACCTGTATACACATTGTCCCAACCAAAAGCAAGGTCCCCTTTTCCTTAACATACTGTAAAGTCACGGGATCTGCTTTCCTCCTTAACAATCACTGCCACAGCCATCCCCCCCTCCCCCCAAGTGGACACTGTCAGGCAATTATCCACCTTTCCTTGTGTCATTTGCCTTGTGGAGGTGAATGGACTTTTTCCATAGACCAAATTGTAGAGGGGTAGGTGTAGATAGCATGGGTTTTGGACTTAAGGTAGTAAGCAAAGGTCCAGAAGTGTTCCAGGAAATGTAGGAACCTAACAGGAGCCCCCGAGCTACCCTGCCCCTCCAGGAGTTATTCTCCAGCTTATCTGTGGCCATGAGATGTATGTGATGTGTGTTCACTTTGCTAATGATTCTGGAGAAGTGTGATTCAGCCACCTGGCTTTGAAGTTGGCCTTTCTCAACACAGAGAATTTTTTTTTCTGCTTGTGATGACTAATTAAATGCACAACATTTCATTAAAAGACAAAGTTCTGTTTCTATTACTGAATAATCAGCCACTTCCTTACTCCTTCCTGGAAGGAAGGAATTCTGCAGATTTTTGCCTTCTTTGAGGAGAGGTGCAATGCATGATCCTTTAGAACCCATGGAGGTAATATTCTGACTCTAGTGTGTTTTGAGCTTTAGGATTCTAGAAGCAGGGCCCAGTATCTAGGAGTTGGAGAGCCCTTAAATTTACAGTTCTAGCTCTGTTCTCCCTCTGACTGCCTGTGGGCAATTCGAGGGTGGTAGTTCCAGTATCCTTCATCCCTCTAAGATCTGTACAAAAGATGTGTTCTCTTCTAATTGCTCTAACTTTACTTTGTTTTCCCTTTCTGCAGAGTTTGCAGTGGTGGCAAATAATTAGGACTGGCACAGAGGCATCCGGATCAGGCCAGGTTTCTTTAGGGTCTGTGTAGCGTTGTCTAGAGTGGGGGAAAGCATGGAAAGAGAAGGTGGCATGCCTTCTCTGACTGAGCTAGGTAGCACCCCTGCTAGTCCTGCTTAAGAAAAGAAGCCTCTAAGGACTGGGTCACACTTAGAAACTGAAATCAGAGGGTCCTTTGAAAGTAGAGGTGAGCAAGGCATCCGGATCTAGACACTTGAGGTAAAATGACACTTCCTCATCCCTGCCTTTTCTCTTTCAGGGGTGCTGAACTCTGTTTCTTGCTCCGTAAGGACCCACACAGACCTCTCCTCTCACTAGTTGCTGATATAAACAAGGAGAGGAGCATAGAAGGAAAAGAACCTTTCTGGCTTTGTGTCTGTCCCTCCCCCATCACTCCAGCCTTGATCCACCTTCAGAGGGGCCACATGCTCTGACCAATCAGGCAGAAAGGTAGTTACCATCTGCCAAAATAATAATACCAATAATTGCTAAATTAGTGCCAATGCTCTGTTAGCTATAACACTCCACATTAGTCTCCGATTTATCTCTGAGTCCCTTAATGATGGTGGAAGCGGGTGCCCAGTCATAAAGCTTGGTGCGGCCATAATTAGCTTGGCATTGTCTCTCCTCATCATGGCTTTTTCAGGAGCATTAATTCCTTCTCTGTTTGGACTCTGCTAATTATCCCCATCGGTAGCTCAGCCTGGATCTCTGAAAGAAGGAAAGGAAGCAAAAGCCCTCTGCTCTCCCTTCCCCCTACCCTGAATTTTAATTACACTGGGTTCTAATAAATTTACAAGCCACGGCAGAGCTTATTATTAATGGACCACGTCTGTGAGCTTCAGTACAGAATAGCCCCTGTTCTCCCAACACACAAACACACACTCACACTCAGGTGTTCCTCAGGTACATTTCTGGCTGGGGCTCTTTCAGAGGCCACTGGTTATTTGCCTGGTGGCTGGTGGGTAACCTGCAGTGTCTGTACTATCCAGAGAAGAAAATAGATTGAGGGGTGGGGGATGTTGCTAGGAAGCGGTTATAATCTGAATCTCCAGGGTTCTGCTCAGGTTCAGAGGGTCAGGACAAAGAGTAGAAGATGCCCCCCTACTCTCTCCTGATTACAACTCAGAAATGCCTCCTCAGCTTTTCTGTTCAGACTTTGACTCCACAGTTCTTCAGCTCAACCTCCAGTTTTCTCAGATGCCTGGTTCAAGAGCCTGGAGTTTGGCTTCAGAAAGCCCTAGGTTCCATTCCCAGCTCTTCTGCTAAACGCACTGTACCCTTGAACAAGTTACTTAGTTAACATCTCTACACTTGGTTTACTATCTTGGAGAGGTGAATACCAATTTCTTAGGGAGGCTGTAAAGATTAAATTAGATAACATAAAGCTTAATGCTTACCATGTAGAAATAAATAAATAATATTATTAGTATTAATATTAATGGTTATGCCCAGCATCTCTGTTTCTTCCAGGCTTGTGGGCCTTTGTGTCACTTGCTCTCTGGTCTCTGGGCTGTGCTTTGTCTGTATCTCCATTTGTGTCTGAACAAGAGCTGGGCCAGGCAGCTCCTGCTCAGCACAGCCTGAGCACTACCATTTCTAAGGATCTGCCAGCAACCCCAGACCCCGAGGTCAACCATCTCTGGCTTTGGAGTGAGCAGGGGAAATGGTCCTTTCTTTTCTCTTCCTATCCCCAGTTTATCTTTTCAATTATAATCTGTTAGTGAAAATGCCTGTTACTGTTACAAAATGGATTTTTCTGACATGGAGCCCATTAGAAAAATGGGAACAATAGCAAGAGATAAGAACTGCTGATGAGTCCTAACACTATGGGTGGAGAAAGGAGAGGGGGAAATGTCAGTGGGGGAGATAAGAAAGCCCTGGGCTGCTAATTAATAACCCAGCATTTTCTGGAAGGGGAGGGAGATCATGGGCCATCACCCCTGACAGACAGTCTCATTTAAGGTGACAAGCAGGTCCTACCCTGATGGCCTTCAGGGAACCTTAACATCCCAGGAGAGAAGAGGGGCCTAAGATCCCTCAGATGCTTTACCCTCTAATCTGGTGTCCTTCTTCCCTGCCTCAGAGGCCTAGCTTTGGGTCTATTGTATACACAGTAAACTATTATCCTCCACCAAAATAAAAATCTGAAGAATAATAGCAGCTTACATTGGGGGGCATTCATCATGTACCAGAGACTGTGCTCAAGGTCTTAGATTATCTGAAATTCACAGTGGTTCTGTGAGGTAGGAATAATTAGAAAGCTCACTAAATAAAAGAGGAAACCGAGGTTAAATAACTTGCTCAAGGTCACACAGTTAGAAAGCAATGAGCATAGTATGTGTTCTGTGGTCATTCTGGTACTGGTACCCACCTGAGATGTCCACCCTGTGACTGAGCACCTGGTTAAGTCCGGTTTCCCAGCCAGCACTAGAAGCCACATGCCCCTGCGGAATGCCATGTTTCCAAAGCCTCCTTCCACAGCTCTTTTCTCTCCCGGAGGCTACTGGGTAATTGGTTTCCCGAACCAGGTGCCCACAGAATACTGAAGCTCCTTTGATACCTGAATGAAGATATTTCACAACTAATAAGGAATAATGGACCTCTTTCCCCCAATTTCCAAGAAAACTTTGCAAGAGCATAGGATGTCCTTAATTGTAGATTTTTCTTCCATGATTTTCTTCTTATTCCTTTGGAACTTGCTTCTGCTCACTGGCTGGCTGGTGATGGTAATGACGAAACAACAGAGAAAGTAGCAAGCATATGAATATTAACAGAAAAACTGGGAGATGTGTGATCCTTAATATAGTGTGTATTATGTCTTGAGATATACATGGCTACTATGAGATAGTTACATTATTCTTGCTGAGATTGTTCTTGGTTTGTAATGATAAGGTTAAAGCTATCACTATTTATTAGTGTTCATGGATTGCAGGTGTTCTACCCACTAAACAAATTTTAAAACTAAGGGACGTTCAAAACTAGGCCTCACTAGGTAATTCTAATAAACAATAGCTAATATTTATTTTATTCCTTACTACATTCTAGGCACTGTTCTTAGCACTTTGGATACATATTTGTTCATATTTAAACCTCACAACGACCTTAGAAGGTAGATACTATTATTTTCCCCACTTTATAAATGAAGAAACTGAGGCTGAGAAAGGTTACATAGTTTGCCAAAGTCACACAGTTTAAAATCAGTGGCGGTGCATATTGACTGAGTCCAGTCTGACTCTAGGGCACTGCTTCTCTCTCTCCAGGCTGAAGGGAAAATAAAGAAGAAGAGAGGGAAGAAGAATACAAATACTTAGGAAGTACTTTCTCTTTTCAGTGCTGTGCTAAGCACTTTCTTCCTCAGGGGAGGCTTACCTCCCTCTTGTCCTCAAGCTAGTACATGGTATAAATAGGAAGTGCACTGGATCAGGACTAGGAAAGGTGGCAGAGTTGCCCATCAAAGCTCTATCTGCCTCACAGACTTGAGGTTCAAACAAGACATGAGTGGGAAAGGGATTTTGAAGGCTGTTTGTGCACTTATGATTTCCTAGAGGTCAGCATGTCCCGGTGAGTTGGCCCCAGAGAGTTGGCCCCAGCGAGCCCAGAGTAAGAAGGCATGTATCTCAGGTCGTCTGGGCCTTTGCATAGCCCTTAGGCCACTACAGGAGGCTACATCCCTTCCCAACCACAATGCACCTTTAACCAGGGGGTGAGGGCTGGCTGAGTTCAAGGCCACCTGTAGTGATTTTAAACGGTCTAAATTCTCTGCTATCACCTCCTCCCCTGGCCTGGTTCTGCTCTTAACGGCCTTGCTCCCCACCTTGTATGCCCTGTGGGGATAAACCCACTCAGTGTGGGGGATCTAATTCTCCTAGCATTGCCTGCCTGTGAGGTGTCAAAAGCCCAGGCTCTCCTAGTCCCTGCAAGAAGATTCTCCAGGCATAGGAAGGGCCTCCTGGGTCTTGTATCACCAGTATTGAACCCTGGGTGCTGATTCCCAATAATCCATACTCTCTGTCTTCCCTAATCACAGCTCTGAGGGAGCACCAGCTGGGGGTTATGTGGAGATGCAATTGAAATAGCAGCCACACTGAGGAAAAAACAATTCCCCAATCTCTATTTTCATTTATGAATTCAGTTTTTTGTCAGGCTGAACATTTAAATGCACTCTGTTCTTTCTGAATTCCCCCCACCCTCCTTTTCATTAAAATTCTAATTATTACCAGAGCAAGTAAGATGTATGATCAAAGGAAAGCAAAGACCTGGAAATACCTTTTGTTTTAAGGTGACTCATATTGCAGAGAATGCATCCAGAACAGCTGTAACAGAGAACAGATGCGAAGGGTCTAGAGATGGCCAGGTACTGAGAGGAAGGACACATGTACCTGTGGTAGCTTTCCTGGTGAGTCCAGGGGTACAAGGGCCTGAAAAATAGTCTACAAACCATTGAGATCATGAACTCATAGCAGCCAAAAAAAAAAAAAAAAAAAAAAAAAATTGACTCAGTACCTCTAAGGCTACAAACGAACATATGTTTATTTGTTCTCAAGTTACATGTTTTACAGAGTGGTTCTGCAGAACCGGAATGGCTGGGTTATAGCCCAATTCCACCACTCACCAGCTGTGTGACCCAACCAATCTGTTTAACTTTTCGTGTCTCAGTTACCACATCTGTAAAATGAGGACAATAATGGTGCCTATTTCACTGGAGAGGATTAAATGAGTTAATATAAAAAGTGCTTTTAACCTTGGATGTAGTAATGTTGAAAAAATTGACTAAATCAATAATAAAATGCTATTATTACTATCAAACTATATATTAAATTTTTGATTTCTTTTATTTAAGGTAATAAATAAATATTTAAATGATCTGAATTTTGTTTTCTCTTGTGCCCCCTGAGGTGCATGACAGCACATTGGAGAGCTTTAGCCTAAGAGTTAACTTAGAATCAGCTTTCCTGGTCCCTGGCCGTCTCCAGGTGAAGCACTAACCCCAGCCCCTGTGACCAGGGAAAGTCTCTGCAGGGAGCAGAGGGGGAGGGGAGGTGGCTCAGAAACTGAGGACTCTGCTGTTATTCCCTGATCATGGCTGTGGTAGCCGATCCAGGCAAGTAACCCAGCAGTGCTGGCTCCCCAGAGAGGGTGACTGCTGTTCTCATCTTCTCAGATCCCTCTGGATATGGGACAACTTTCCCTGTGTGCTGTGAGAGTACACTGAATCCCCCCTACTATGTGCAGAAGAAGCTAATCCCTGCCCTCAAGGAGATTATACTCAATCTCATTCACTAGAAGGCAGTTCAATGTCTATTGAGCTCCCACCTTGGGTAGGGGTGTGGTAAGGAAGAGAAGAAGATGAGTTAACCAGCCTCTGCCCGCAGGGCCTCACAGCCTGCTGAGGAAGAGAGCTGTACACAAAAAAGACTCTAAGTCTGGCCATAGTAACAGCTCTAATAGAAATTCAAACAGCATCCAAACGTGAACGCTTCACGAGTTTGCACATTTGCTTAGGCTGCTTCTTAAATTACTTTCCCTTCCCTGTGCACATGCCAGTAGGTAGTAGAAGAGGCAGCCCAGGTGCTCCCCAGGCTGCTGGGGGGTGGAGGGGTGATGCTGGAGACACCAGACTGTGGAGAGTGCAAAGCTGCAGGTATCTCACAAAGTGGACAACCAAGAGTCAACCCTGAAACCCTCTTTCCCTCTGACTTGGCAGCTTTTCTCATGATCGTTCTTCTCTCTTCTTCCGTCTTTGTCCCTTCTGTGTGCCCCCTCTTCCAACAACCTCACCTGCTTCTCCCCACCTCTGTCTGTCTCTGTCCCTCCCTGCCTGGCTCATGCCGAGGGCAGGCACCTCTGTCAGCCTCTTCGCAGTGGTAGTTATTGTGTGTGGCGTGGCTCTGGTGGCAGTTTTTCTCTTTCTCTTTTGGAAGCTGTGCTGGATGCCCTGGAGGAACAAGGAGGCCTCCAGTCCCTCTTCTGCTAATCCCCCCTTGGAGGCCCTCCAGAGCCCCAGCTCCAGAGGCAACATGGCAGACAAGCTGAAGGACCCCAGCACCCTGGGTTTCCTGGAGGCGGCTGTGAAGATCAGCCACACGTCTCCAGATATCCCGGCTGAGGTGCAGATGTCGGTCAAGGAGCACATCATGCGTCACACGCGGCTGCAGCGACAAACCACAGAGCCTGCATCCTCCACCAGGTGAGGGGTGAATCCCTCGCTTCCCTAACCCCCACATATCCACACTCCCTATTCAATACGTGAATGAGATTCCAGCCAGTGAGAAATACAAATAGTGACCCGTGTCCTTTGATTGAAGAGTCTATCAGATGGTGTGACCATGGTGGGCAATCAACTAGGAGATGTGGGGGAAATGGGAGAGTAGGTGGGGGATGTTCTGTGTTTGAGAGAGGGAAAGACTTCAGGCATTGGGAAGAGAATATGCAAAGGCCCAGAGGCATAAAAGTTCAATGTGTGTTTAGGGATATGTCAGTAAAGCCTCAGTAGCTAGAGTCTGCAGTGTATGGGATACAAGGCAAGAGAGTCCTAACATTTTAAGAATAAGGATTTCTTTAAAACCTCTCAGAGTTCCCTGCATGACCACATTTGTATGTATGGCATTTGTTAACTGAAAACAAGAACCACATAATGACAAAAACCTACTCTAAATTCAGAGACACTTTTAAAAGATGTGTGTGCATGTACGAGGCATTGTATTTACCCAAAACTTAGGGCTCTTGTGGATTCTTTGGTCCCTGAAAGGTCTCTCCAGGCTCCCAGTGGACTAACCAAAGGGAAGGAGGTCTGGTTTTCAGAATGGAGGCCAGGAATGAAAGTGCTGGGAGTCACAATGACAGTTTGTCATACAGCCCAGGGCAAGTTGCTCACCTTCCCTAAGCCTCACTTTTCCCAACTGTAAAATAGGGCTAATGACTTTTGTGAGATTGTCGTGAGGAGCCAATGAAAGAATCTGTGTGATAACTAGAGCTTCCACATGCATCACTTATACACCTGGCCCTGTTCTAAGCACGCCACACGTATTAATTCATTTCACCCTCACAGCAATCCTATGCAATTGCTACTTTTAGTATCCTCATTTTTATAGCACAGAGAGGTTAAATAACTTGCCCAAGGTCACATAGCTAGAAAATGACGAAGCCGAAATTAACCAATGCAGTGTGACTCCAAAGCCCATGCTTATAACCACTCCACTGCCTGCCATATAGTAAGTGCTCAGTAAATGGTGGTGGTGATGGTGATAAAGGGAGTGCCATATTGAGAGTAAAAAAGGATGGTCCTTCTCCTAAGGGATCTCATGGTTTAATGGAGGAATCAGAGTCGTGTCTACTAGGAAAGATACCTAGAAAGCAGGCCCCAGAAAGCAGAAAAAATGGTTATGATAACAAAGGCTAAAATTTATTGAGCTTCCTATATGCCAGGCACCATTCCAACTACTTTACATATATTAAGGCACGTAAAGCTCACAACAGCCTTGTGTACAAAGTATGTGCATAGGAAAAGTGGGGCCAACAAGAAGGAGGAAAAGGGGGCTCCACAGGGGTAAGATGAGCCAAGGGCCACCAGGGTTGTGTCTGCCTGCATCCACCTGCATCCACCTGCATCCACCTTCCCCTGAGCCCTGACCACACTCTCTCTGCCCCCTCCCACCCTCCTCCAGGCACTCATCCTTCAAGCGCCACCTGCCCCGGCAGATGCATGTCTCCAGTGTAGACTACGGCAATGAGCTGCCACCAGCGGCAGAGCAGCCCACCAGCATTGGCCGCATCAAGCCCGAGCTCTATAAGCAGAAGTCAGTGGATGGGGACGATGCCAAGTCTGAGGCTGCCAAGAGCTGCGGGAAAATCAACTTCAGCTTACGCTATGACTATGAGAGTGAGACCCTGATTGTGCGCATCCTGAAGGCCTTTGACCTCCCTGCCAAGGACTTTTGTGGAAGCTCTGACCCCTACGTCAAGATCTACCTCCTGCCTGACCGCAAATGCAAGCTGCAGACCCGGGTGCACCGCAAGACCCTGAACCCTACCTTTGATGAGAACTTCCACTTCCCTGTGCCCTACGAGGAGCTGGCCGACCGCAAGCTGCATCTCAGTGTCTTTGACTTCGACCGCTTCTCCCGCCATGACATGATTGGGGAGGTCATCCTGGACAACCTCTTTGAGGCCTCTGACCTGTCCCGGGAAACCTCCATCTGGAAGGACATCCAATATGCAACAAGTGTGAGTACAGCTCTCTTCTCTTGGCTTCTTGAGGATTTACAGTTCTGGGTTGGGTGGGACATATCCCCAACCCCTTACTACCTAGAGACAAATGGGCCTTTGCTCTTCAGTATTGAATAGGGACTCTGGGAACTGCCCAATGGCCCAGACCACCCTGCGGAAGTCCTTGCACTCTGCCCAGGTAGGGGTGGGGGACAACAGAGCCTCCATGTGGGTGAGAAGGGAAAGGAATTTTTAGCAATTGCTTCTGATTGCATGTTCTGGGGTGGTTCTGTCTACCTGCTAGACCTCAGGTTTGCCCCCTATAAGACTATGTTTTATGTCCCTTTGATCATGGGTAAGAATTGGGCCAGGCCCATAGATTGAATCAGATAGCAACATCTACTGAGGGCATTGATGTGTGTTAGAAGCTTAGAATAGGCAATGAAGAACAGGCTGTATCAATCAGGATGAACCAGTTTATGCTGCTGCAACATGCAATCCTAGGACTTTGTGGCTTAAGAAAACCGAGCTTTGCAGCTTGGCTGCAAGGTAGAGACCTTGTTACTCAGGGATTCAAGCCAATGGAGGCTTCATATCCACATGTGCTCTCACAACTAAACATCAAGAGGAAGAGGACATGGCAAGTCATGCATTATTTCTTAACTCTTCCATGCAGAAGTGACACATGTCACTTCCACTCATATTTCATTAGCCAAAGCAAGACACATGGCAACTCCTAAAACCAAGGGGGCAGGGGCAAAGCAATCCTATCATGTGATCAGAAGGAGACCTGCAAAAACTTCATGAACAACACTAATGACTACACACAGCAAAGCTCATTCTCTTAGGCATCGTCTTCCCAGTGCAGCCTGGGAGATGGGGGAGGCCGTCCTGAAAGGAGACCTGGCCAATCCACACCTGGGAGGTGGATGCTGGGCTGTTCACAACTGGAATTAACCAGGGAAGGTTTCACATAGCTGAGGCTCAAGCTGGCTTTTTGGAGAATGGAGGACAGGTTTGGCACAGAGAACTGGAGAGGGCACAGCCAGAGCCCTTGGGTCTGGTGTAGACAGTGCGCTCCAGTCCACTGGGCTGAGGAAGCTGGGCAACGGCCTCCTGCAGGTGTGGCTGGCAAACCTCTCTCTAAGCTCGCCAGGGCAACCAGAGCCCAGCAGGGGCGTTTCCACCAAGCTCCAATGGCCTTGCAGGTGGCGTCTTGAGTGCTAACTGGTTGAGTGTTTCCCTGGATGTTTCTTACACCTTATCTCTGGGGGAGGGGTGACCCCACTCTGTCTGCAAACCCTCCCTTTGGACAGTCAATAGTCAATATTTCTGAGTTGAATTTGTGAAGAGAGGCTGGGAAAATAAGGCCCACTCTGGGGGGCAAAGGATACAAATCTTGATTTGTTCAAAGAGAAGTAGCTTGGTGGGCTCTGCTTCTGCCCCAGGATCTCTGGGCTCATCCAGACCCTGGTGCTGACTTTGACCAATCCAGCCTGATATCCCATAATTTTCTTCACCTTGTTCTCCTGAAATGTCAGCCCCAAGAACAGCACAAGCAGCCAACCGGCAGACAGAAAGGGCGGGCCAGAACAGCAGCTGTGCACAGGCCCCAAGCCCAGGAGCTCGCTCCATAAATCACTCTCAAGTTTACATCTGGTGCAGCTCTCCCCTTGCATCTCCTAAGGCAGTGGCTTCACTATGATGACAGTACTGGTAGAGAAAATCAGCCCAACCCTCCTCACGGTGAGGCCTTGACCCAGGGGCTGAGGGTGGGAATGTGAGGGCCAGGGGCTACGGGAAGCAGACCTCAGCTCAGCCCTGTTAGGAACCTCCTCTGCTTCTCAGCAAAGTCCCCACCTTGCAATCCTGTGCCTTCAGCTCCAGGCATGAATGCAAACCTCAGTCCTGGAATAAGCAGTCTGTGCCCAAGCAAGCCCTTCACCTGGATATAACTTCCCATATTCTAGAGCTCTCTGGCTGTCCCCGCCCTTGTCCCATCCCCACTTCCCCAGCCCAGCTTCCAAAAAAGACAGATCATCCAAGAGCACTGGACAAATCATCACAGTCCTCCCAACATGCAAAGAACATTGTGCTGGGCACTGAAAGGTGAGAGTGGGGCTGGGATAGAAGACAGCCTCTTCAGCCCATAGAAACTTATCATCTAATTACAGAGGCAAGAGATGTCCGTGCAGTAGCTGGCAATGCAAGGCAGCAAGTACTATATACTGTGTGTGGTTTCAAGATCCCTAAGAGTTAGTACAGCTGGGGAAGGTCTCCTGGATAAGAGGAATTAAAGTAGGTGGAGAAGAACTGGTATAAATAACTTGATAGGCCTCCAGGAAAGGGAAGTATTCCAGCCAGGAGCAGAGGGGTCTAGACCCAGGAGTTCCAGAAGCTGTAGAGCCAGGATCATGGCTGCACACCCTGTCTTGCTTGCAGTCTGTCTGAGCTGGACGTTCCTCCTCAGGTGAGGGCCTGGGACCCTCCAGCCCACAGCCTCACCAGCGGGCACACTTCTCAGGAACGGGCAATGACTCAAGCACAGGAAGAGGAAGGAATGCAACAAGGCTGGTTAATTTTTGGGTGCTGGGGAGGCGCTAGTCACAGGCACTGGGAATGACTGAGCACTCAGCGTATATGAAATCCTATAGCCAGCACAGAGGGGACAGTACAGACGAGCACTCACATCACTCCTGCATGCCCCATTCCCTTCCCAGAACTGCACTTTGGACCTGAGCCCAGGAACATGGCAGCTTCTCTGCCCCGTCCAATCTAGTCCCTGAAAAATAACTGACATTCCTGCCTCTCATCTTTGCTTACAAGGTTCCCTCTGTCAGGCAGGACTGTCCCCCACCTCTCTGCCTGGCCCAAACCAATCCACTTTTCAAAGCTTACCTGAGGTCCTTCACTACGTGGCCTTCTTGTCTCGCAGCAACCACCCTTCTGAAGTGTTCTCTGTATCCCTCAGTTATATCCTGAATCACATTCTGTCTTGAAAAGTCTTCCCAGTGGCTCAGGAATAACTTGGGTTCCACATTTGACTTGCTCTTCTGTTTTTCCTCAGGGCTAAGCATAGGAACCCAGCACGTTCTTGTTGAATGACCAATGGCTTGCTTAATCCAATGAAAACTATATATTGATGCACAAGGAAAGGATTGTTAAAGAAGCAGTTGGAGTTAGGTGGGGTTAACCTGGGAAGGCTTCCTGGAGGAGAAGTTCAAGTAGTATTTTGAAAATGAGTAGAGCTAGGCTTGGTGGGGAGAGAACAACTTGTGCATTCAGAGGCATGGTTCAAAGTAGATGGCTTGTGTCTGGGATGGCAAAGAGACACTAACCAGTCAGATCAGGTAGTCTGGACTGAAGCAGAGGCTCAGTGATCCACAGGCTGAGCATAAGGAGAAGCACCGTGAGAATGGGGCTCAGGAGGATGCTCTGTGGTCACAGGAGTGCCACGAATGCTGCCCCCTGTGGCTCCTCGAGCTGGTGTGGGACAGTCAGATTCAGCCCTGGCATGTGGATCCAGGCGGGTTCCTCCCTGCTCCAGTGCTCTAGTTGGTTTGAAGTAGGAAAGCCTGAAGTGTTTGTGTTGTTTTCTCCAAGCCACTGAACAATGAGCCGCAAGGCTAGTGAAGGGGAGGTAAACATCCGGGGAGTCTAGCTCTTTGTTAATTGCAAATCTTAAGCCACAAGGGACACTTACCTCCTCACCCGCAGGTTGTTCTGGAGGGAAGTGTGGGCAGCATAGTTGCTAACATACAGCACTGGCTGGGAGGTGAGAAGCAGGCAAACTGGGCTGCTGGAGTATTTGGAGGCCCCTGGTATTCCACCGAATCAAGAAGCTCAGGCTTGGAAGGAAATCAGGGGAGTTCATCACGTCCATTCCAGCCCTGGGCACGGCTGCCCTTGACAGTCCTGCTGCCCTTCCTCAGGCCTGACTTGACTGAGGTCCCCTGGTGGTCTCCTGAGCATTCCCGGGGGGTTGCCACTGTCTCTCCAACCAGAGCTTCAACTGGAAAAATCACAGTGCTTGTCCCTCACCCCCCCGTCCCCAATCTCATTATTTCTATATAAAGCTGTAGATTTATCATTATAATAGAGCCGCCGTCACCGGGGTTTGCTAACATCTCTGTAATCTTGTAGTTATTGCTACAGAAGCCTCAGACCCCAGTGCACACAACTATTCCTGTTGCTATTCTAGCTCCTTCGCTGCAGTGGGAGATGAAGGCTGTAATTGGGGCTATAAATATGTGTTGTGCTTAGTGCTGCTAATGGACCAGGCCATCTTCCTGCCTGACCGGGTCCCCACCAGCTTAGAGTGTGCGTGTGTATATGCATATGTGTGCATGTGTGCGTGCATGTGCGTGCGTGTACATGCATGTGTGTGCATATGCATGTGTGTGCATGTGTAAGTGTGTTTGAGTATTGTTTGGGAGGTGATGGAGTGTTCTGTGTACTTGCAGGGAGGAAGGGAGGCCTTACATGGTGGAGTAGCCTCTAGCCTGGAAATGAGCAGAACTGTACAGAAAGAGCTCAGGCTTCGGTGCCACACAAACCTGTGCTGCATTCTAGCCTCTGCACTTTCCAGCTCTGAGACCTTAGGACATTATCTAAACTCTGCCTCAGTTTCGACATCAGCAAAGTGGGGGTAATAATGGCATCCAGGTCATAGTGGTATTATATGTACTAAACAAAATAATATATGCAAGTTACCTAGGACAGCACTGTCACAAAGCAGCTTGCTGAGCCCCATTCTCCTGGTGTCCTTCCTGCTGGCTCAGTGTATGGATCACTTTTGTTCTACTCCCAGGCCTGACCTTCCACTTCAGTCCAGGCAGCCTGTTCTGACTGGTTATTGGATATTATTATTCCTGATATGTTTCTAGTCTTAGCTATGCCATCTGTTCTCTGTGTGACCTTAGAAAAGTCACTTCCCCTCTCTGGGCTGCAGTTTCCTCAGTATGAAACCACCTCCAAAGGTCTGAGATTTTCAGCTTTTCAGCTGCTTTCACAGAGAA